CGCTTTCCTGGAGGAAGATCAGTTAGTTCCCATGTCTCATTCTTCTCAAGTGCCCTGATCTCATCTAGGACAACTAACTTCTATTCTGGAATTTCCAAGGCCTCATGTATTGTTCTGGGTTCAGATGAACTGTTGTCTATCCTGCACACAAAAGCATGATGTTCCGAGGATAATTTTTCCAATGAAACATAGTCCTATATAGGATGTTTGGTGCATAGTCGAGTGCCCTTCCTCAAAGCAATAGGAATATCAGAATCAACAGAATCAAGAGTTAGTACAGAGATTACGTTACGTGGATCAGTGGTGGATTCATGGCAGTGCTTGAATGATTCGGGTGCTTTTCCTTTGTTTCTTTTTGTATAAACACGTAACTCACTCGTTGTAGGTAATGTGCTTTCTATAACTGGTTTTGGTTCTGATTTCTTTTGTGAGGTTTCGAGTTCAATCTCCAGAAGGTTTGTCTGGTGATGGATTTTGTGGGTAGAGAGGTAGTAAACACACATCCCACAACTAATATTCCTGAGTGAATGTCTCGCCCTAAATATCAGTGGTGGGATCAAACGGTTGATTCTCAAAAAAGGTGACGTCCATGGTATTATAAAATCGGCGGGTTTCCGGAACTAGACATTTGTATCCGTTTTTATTTGCTGAGTACCCAACAAAAATACACTTTGTTGCTCTTGAGTCTAATTTTTCACGAAGATGTTTATGAATGTGGACATATGCTAAACAACCAAATACTTTAAGTGGCAAAGTGTTTAAGATGTGAGAATCAGGAAAGATTTTTGAGAGAATAGTGTATGGTAATTGAAACTGTATAATACGGAAGGGCATCCGATTAATCAAATAGGTAGCTGAAATGACAGCCTCTCCCCAAAGATATTTTGGTACATGTGTGGTGAACATGAGAGATCTAAAAACCTCAAGAATATGTCTGTTTTTTCTTTCGGCTATGTCGTTTTGCTGTGGAGTATGAACACAGGAGGTTTGATAAATAATGTCATGTTCAGTCTAGTATTTTTTAAGAGTATTTTCAAAATATTCACAAGTATTGTCGGATTTCAATACTTGGATGGTAACATAAAATTAGGTTCGAATCATTATATGAAATTTTTTAAATAGGGATCCCACTTCAGATTTTTCCTTCATGAGAAATACCCAAATAATTCTTGTATGGTCATCAATAAAAGATACAAACCACCTAGTTCCGCAAACGTTGGAAACCCTGAAGGGCCCCAAACATCACTGTGAATTAATGCAAATGGTTTAGATGGTTTATATGGTAGACTATGGAATGAACTTCGAGTATGTTTAGAAAATTGGCAAACTTCAGACTGTAATGAAACTGGATCTTTTCCTTTAAATAGTAGTGAAAACATCTTTTTTAAGTACATGAAGTTTGGATGTCCTAATCTATAGTGTCACAACATAATATCATGATCATTATTTTTAACAATAGGAACAGAGTTTTCACATACTGCATTGTGAGCTTGTCTTTTAGAAGTGTTGACTTGAAGCAAATATAATTCGGAGCTTATCCTAGCACTGCCTACCGTCCTCCCCGAGTCCAAATCCTGAAAATTACACATATTAGAAACAAATTTCGCAGCACATTTCAAATCTTCACATAGCATGCTGACAGACAACAAATTACAATCCAAATTCGGAACATGGAGAACTTAACAGAGAGTCAAATTTGGAGAAAAATTTACAGAGCCCACTCCTGCCACTTTTGAGAGAGAACTATCTGCAATTCTGATTGAAATATTTTCTTCACATCTTCTGTAATTTTGGAACATTGAGAAATTGTCACTCATATGATCAGATGCTCCAGAGTCTACCACCCACACCTGTCCTTTTTCTAAAAGAGCAGATAAGCCATGAATATTACCTTTGTGTGCCACAGAGGCACTGACCGGGTGAGATTTCTTGGACAAGATTTGTTGGAGGGTTTCCAACTGTTCAGGGGTAAATGGGTCTTTTCCTATCTCATCAGAAATTACTTCCTCAGCCATCACGTGATTTCCTCGAAGCTTGCTGGAGGTCTCTGCTTTCGACATTTTCCACTCACCCGAAGGTGGTTTCCAGTCACTTGGCTTGCCGTGAAGCTTCCAGCAACGTTCCCGAGTGTGCCCTAGCTTCCGACAGTGGTCGCACCAGGGACTTGTCTTCTTCGTTCGACTGGCAATCGCTCGAGTTGTGAGAGCTAAAGAATTTTCAGTCTGGTGAGATTGGTCATTCTCTCTCATCATGATCTTCCGACGACTCTCATCGCGTCGAACCTCAGAAAATACTTCTCGAAGACTCGACAAAGGTTTGGTGCTCAGAACACGTCCCCGAATCGCGTCGAGATTTTTGTTTAGCCCTAGCAGGAATTTGAAGACTCGCTTTTCTTCCATAAAGACACTGAAGTTTTTTGTGTCCTCGGAGCAGTTCCAGTGACGCTCCTCGAAGGCGTCTATCTGCTGCCAACTTCGACTAAGGATACTGTAATACTGGGTGACACTGAGTTCTCCTTGTCGAAGGTCAGGAAGAGTTGATTCGATTTCGAATATTGCAGAGGTATTTTGCTTGCTGGAGTAGAGTTCCTGTGCTGCCTTCCAGATTTCGTGAGCAGTTTCGTAGAGAAGGAAATTCTCTCCGATTTCAAGAGTCATTGAGGTAATGAGCCAGGACATGACCATACTGTCTTCGATTTCCCAAGTTTGTGCATTTGCATCGAACGCTGGAGGAGGCATGAGCTCGCCAGTGAGGTGCCCATAACACCCCCTTCTGCGGATGAAGAGACAGACAGACGACGACCATTGAAGGAAGTTGCTGCCATCGAGTTTATGTCCTGTGATACAGGATGATGATAGTTCACTCACAGCTCTGGTTGTTGCTGTGTGATGATAAGAATCAGAGAAAACTTCTGGTGGAGAGGATGGAAGCTCACCCGAGGCCATTTTTTATTACGGCTCAGCAGGGTTTGATTTCTTCTTGGATCAAGTATTGCTCTGATACCATGAAGAAAATTGAGAGAAAAATATTCTTCTTCTTCTTGATGAATGATTTACACATATATATACAAGTCTACTACCCTAATAACCTAACAAATTATAGAGAAAACCTAACAAAATTCTATTTTTAAGGACAAATTCATTCCAACAAATTTGTTAGTGATTCCCTCCATTTACAGCACATAACAGTTGTAAATAACCATTTTTAATCCTAATTTATTCTTTTAATTATTATATTTTCTACATATATATCTAATAAGGCTAATGGAATTGCACTATGAACCTAGTCCGAAAAAATTTTCCTTATTGGTCAAACGGTTGTAGTTTCTTTATTTGGAACCTTTTTCATTGTGATACAAGGTGATGAAAAGCATCCATAGTATGAACAAAAATGGTTGGGATTCAACACCAGGAATATTACAGCCCAGAGAGGCCCATGAAAAGTTATTTCTCAACATCTATGACCTTTTTAATCCTCTTACCTATTTGACCAGAGAGGGCCATTAAAAGTTATTTCTCAACATGTATGACCTTTTTAATCCTCTTACCTATTTGAGGGTGGGGAATGGTCCTTGAATTTTGTTCTACAAAGATTATTGGATTGGTGATCGTTCTTTGTCATTTGTTTTTCTCATCTCTATAACCTTTCCTTGTGACCTATTTCTCTTATTTGCTACTCCAACAATCATTTGAGAAGCAAACCTCATAGAATTTGCATTATCTTTTTATCTAAAAAAGAATATGCATTACCTCAAAAATCTAAAGGATGAGGAGTCTATCAATATGTTTTCCATGCTCAATTTACTTGAGCATTGTAATGTTGCCTCTCATTACGATTGCAAAACTTGGAATTAGGACTCCTCAAGTGTTTATACATGCAAGTCTTTTCTTAGCTGCCTAGCTCATAACCTAGTTGCCAAAATTACATTTCCTCCAATGTTTCTTAGAAAGCTAAATTACCTTCAAGTTGAAGGTATTTGCCTAGACTACTGTTCTTGACAAACTTAAGCGACTTCTTGCAAGTTCACAAGCCTAACTATGCTCCTCCCCAAACATGTGTTTGATGTGCTTCACAAGAGTTGAATGCCTTTGCTTTCCTCCACATCGACATGATCTAGAATCTTTGGATTGTTTTTAATTACTTTTGACATAATGTATGTATCTTCTTCTCCTGTTTGTCTTTTGATATCTTCTCTAGAGGGGGTTTGTACAAAGATAGGAGATAGGATCCTTTAGATGGGTACTCTTTTCGTTTGTTTGTGGGTTTTGTGGTTGGAGCATAATGATGGTAACTTCAAAGATCATTACTTTACTCTCCAATTTTGCGGGACAAAATGACCTTCTTGGCTTCTTTGTAGGCCAAAGCACGCTCATTCTCTAGAGATAGCTTTTCTCCTTTGTAGAAAATTGGGGTGCTATTTCGCATTGAGTTTTTTCCTTTTTTCGATCTTCCTCATATTCTTTTTAGAGATTTTCCAAAGAAAGTCTTATCCTCTGTACGTGTATTGTTTTCTCTTCTCTATTTTCTAATAATTTTTCTTTTTCAATAAAAAGGATAAAAAGAAACAAATACCTTTTTGCTGGAAGGATATCTTATGATCAGTGAACTTTTTATTTTATCTTAAGAGACATAAAAATATCTATTATATGCAAACCTACTTGTGCTAGACCTTGGTGCCTACTGAATAGATCTTTTGTCATAGAAATATGCCCAATGGAAACCATCAAGTATTTCTTACTGAAATATAAGGGAAACTTGGGAACCGTATACTAACAATAGTAGATAATGACCACAAAAGCTGAATTCACTATATCGCAAATAATAGTGATCCTTACTGAAATATAAGGGAAACTTGGGAACCATATAGTAACAATAATAGATAATGACCACATAAATTGAACTCACCATACCACAAATAATAGTAAAAACAATGTAATATAGGAAAAACAAACACAACTAGAGAGGTCAATGCATGGTCACACAGAAGGACACAACTTGACTTACCCAAGGTTTCCCATGATTAGTCCTCCAGTTGGAAAGTCTGGACCTGGCATGTACTCCAACAATTCTTGCAACTGATAAGGGGAAAACAAATATCATACTCCCAATAGCAACAACAAAACTCAAGACACAAGAAGATGACAAAGAAAACAAGACAAAATCATTGTAAAACGCAGTTCCAGATATTCCCAACAGAACCCTTATCTCCATGAAGCCTACTTGTCAATGAAAACAAGCAATCCATTATACTTGTCAATGAAAACAAGCAATCAGTTATACTTCTCAAATACCATTATTTTTTACAATGCCCACACAGGTATCTGTAATGTTGCATAAAAGAATAATAATTAATAATTACCAAGAGATTATTCAGTGATTTTAAAATTTATTTTTTATCAAGAAGATCGTATTATCATAAGGCACCAAGAGATGCTGCTTGTATAGAGGAGTTTTTCTAAGTATATATATATACATATATTGTAGAAGATAATAGGGAAACTTTAGTATCAAATTGAGAAAAAGGAAAAACAGCATGTTAAAAATTGTACGCTCTAGGATAAAGCAATTAAGAACCAAGAGTTTGGATGCTTACAGTGGCATTGGGATTATAGATTAAGGCACAAAGCACATCTACCAACTCTCCAAGATTATGGGGAGGAATATTTGTTGCCATGCCAACCTGAACAATGTGAAAAGATATTCAATTGTTAATCTGCTTGAAGCTGAAGCCTAACAGAACAAAGAAAGAATGAAGAAACAAATCAGTTAAAGAAAATGTATTTGAGAAAAAATTTATCAAATGAAATCACCGCAATCCCGGAAGAACCATTCAACAATATAGTTGGAAGACGGGCAGGAAGAAGTGACGGTTCTTTCTGTGAATTATCGAAGTTTGGGACAAAATCAACCTGCAATGAAATTTTTAGGGTTTAAAAAAAAAGAGGAAAAAAAGGGGCCAAAGCACACCGATTATGATAAAGCATGGTATTAAAAATTAAAAAGTTCTACTGGGGAGGTTGTGGTTGACGAAGAACTTACAGTATTCTGATCTAGATCTGCCAACAACATTGCCTCCGTTAGCGCCTACAAAGATAAAATGGACATATAAACAACAATTGAGCGAAATAAGGATTAGCTACCAGATACATGAACATGACAGCTAACAATTAAATAAGGCTTAGCTACAGGATACAATCACTTAATTTATGCACCTCAGGTGCGCATGCTCGCACAGTCTAAATACTTTTACAAGAGCAGGATTTCCTTTCGGGATGTCTTAGGAAGTGCTTAATCCAGATCAAATAATCTAATGAGTAGAGCGAGATAAGGGAGTGAGGTATTCACCAATGCACAGCATCAAATAGGTACAGGGTTATATCTTTACACGGTTCCAAATAATGAGTCATATGAAAATAAGTATAAAATTTATTTACAAATCCACATTTTTTGTGCTTAAACGAAAATGTGAATTTCTGAAAGACTTTCTATTCTTGCAGAACTTTGTTCCAGAGACAGCCTTAACTATCAAGAAAAAGTCCAAACTACAACCTCTGGCAATATAATGTAATTTTATAGTGAAACATATACTTCAATTTAGTAGCAAGAATTATAAGGAAATCATCCAACATTGCAATTTTAGTTTCATGCCAGACACTAACACAGTAAAATGGTTCAATTAAAAACCCAAAAGAGTGTATCCAAGTAGTCTCTCTCTTCTCTCTACTCACAAAAACCCTCTCTAATCTCTTCTCTTAAGCTCATCAAAATCAAATCTTTCTTTTTCTACCTCCCTTTTCTTCTTTGCCAAAAACATAAAATTTACTAAACTACGTACGTTTATCCAGTGTTAGGGTCAGCCATCATGGCCGACCGGGTTCCTTTCCTTGGGTGTGTATAAAACGTTGTTTTGTGCATACTTCCAATGCTCTATCTCCGCTAAGGGGGCAGTCCCCCCGCAAGCCGGTATACTTGTTAGAAAATGTAAATTTCTTACAATCGGAAGTAAGTCATTCGATGTGGTGGTCAAAGGGCAGGGATTAAGGATCTTTGAAAAATGGAAGAGGCTTCCGAAAGATCTTCTACAACAAGGACGAGATGGAGTGGTTGAAGGAATGTTTTCACGC